CACATTAGAATCACCTGGGAATCTTTTTAAAATCCTGATTTCTGGGCCTCATCCTCCGGAAATTCTGTTTCTTTGTTACTAATATTGTGGCCCTACCCCATAACAAATAAACAGAATTTCTGGAGGATGAGGCCCAGAAATCAGGATTTTAAAAAGATTCCCAGGTGATTCTAATGTGCAGCCAAGGTTGAGAACCACTGCTTTAGAGGATCAAATGGGATAATGCATGTGGAATGACCTTGGACGCCTGACAAATGATATGATATTGTCTTAAGATGAGATTTAGGGGGTTCGGAGTAGGCAAACGGGTGAAAGAGGTCAAAAGTAAAAACTTACAGTTATAAAAAAAGAATGGGGGTGTAATATACAGGTGACTAGAATTAATAAATAGTTCTGTACGGTATATTTGAAAGTGGCTAAGAGAGTAAATCTTAAGAGTTTACATCACAAGAAAAAAATTATAACTGTGTGTGGGGATGGATGTTAATTAGACTTAGGGTGGTGGTCATTTTGCAATATATACAAATATCAAATCATTTATAGTGTACACCTGAAACTAATATATTATGTCAATTATATTGCAATAAAAATGAGATCTAGCTAACCTATATTATTCTTAGCTGTGTAGTTGGAATATTGATCTATTTAAGCTATTGGTTTGTGTGTGTTTGGGTTTGTGCATTTGTGAGTGTATTTTATAATAGAGTGCAATCAACTATGTAATTGTTTCATTGTCTTTAAAAATATTTGATATATTTCATAAAAATGATCAAACCATGAAATACTGAAGCTCCACCTATAGAGTGGCCCCAGGAATATGTGTGTTAGAATGCAGTTTCCTAAGCTCCAACCCCAGATCCTCCTCAATTTGATGGTGGCAATGCCCCCTCGCAGGGCCTGCTGTGCTGGGTTGGGTGGTTCTCCACATTCCCCGCCCCCAATCAATTCCAGAGCTGGATCCCACTCCCGCCGGCCCCTGTATGGCTAGGAGGGTCAGGCTCCTGCAGTTGCTGGCTCTGTCACCTCCCCATCTGTAAATAGTCCCCCCCCCTTCCCGTTTGTCTCTTTGACCATCTGAGAACTCCATGTCCTGCTGGGATTTTGATAGTAGGTTAGACACATGCCAGTTTTCTTTCTCAATTCCTATAGATGTTAGTACTTCTCTTTAATTACATCTGGGTTATATAATCACTATTCTGGGCTTATCTCTTCCTACCTAACTTGACTATAAACTCCCTGAAGAGGAAATAGAGCTTCCTCATCTCTGTGCCCCTCATGAAACCCATCACCCAACTGTGGCAGGCAGGAGCCCTTGCATGGAGAAGGGCAAATACTGAAATAAGGTTTAACTCATAGATGTCTATGTGTCTGTAATAGGTTATGAAGCAACTGCTCTGAAATTATTCCCAAGATGAAGAGGTTTTAATATGAGGAAATAGTTTTAAATATTACTTTTTTTTCTCTGGAAATAGCCTCCTCATGATCTCTGTCTTCTGAAAATAGAAATTCATGTCAAGATGGTACATTATTTAACTATTCTATGCCAAGGTCATTTTATGAGCTCGACATTAATTGGAGAAGGACATGACATTTTAAGTCCCGTCCACATGGATTCGAACCTATTTATCCATGGAAATTGCTGCTGCCACTTCTTAGGAACACACAGCATTCCATTTAAAGATAGACTGTTCAGAATAACAAAATCAATGAGAGAGAGAAACATTGATTGGTTGTCTCCTGTATGCACCCTGACTGGGAATCAAACCCAAAATCTTTTGGTGTATGGGACAACACTCCAACCAACTGAGCAATCCAATAAAACTCTACAATAAAACAATGTCTTAACTGCAAAATGGGCAAAAGATCTAAATAGACATCTTACTAAAGAAGATATATGGATAGTAAATAAGTATATAAAAATTGTTCAACATCATGTGTCATCAAGGGATTGCAAATTTGAACAATAAGATACCTACTAGAATGGCTAAAATCCAAAATACAACACCAAACTCTGATGAGAATGTTGAGCAAGAGCAACTCTCATTTATTGCTGGTGGGGATGCAAAATGTTACAGCCACCTTATTCATTTATTTATATTTCAAATTATATTTACTTACTTAAATTGTAGTTGACATACAATATTATATTAGTTTCAGGTGTACAATTTGACATCATATACTTCTGATGCGATCATCACAATAAGTTTAGTAACAATCTGTTACTGTATAAACTTATTACAATATTATTGACTATATTCCCCATGCTATACATTATATCCCTGTGACTTTCGAATTGCATAACTAGAATTGTTACCTCTTATTCTTCTTCACTATTTCTACTATTCCCTCTTCTTTGACAAACATCAATTTGTCCTCTATGAGACTGTTTCTGTTCTTTTGTTGTTGTTTCATTTAGATTCCACATTTAAGTAAAATCATATGGTATTTGTCTTTCTCTGTCTGACTTCTTCACTCAGCAAAATGCCTTCCAGGTCCATCCATGTTGTTGCAAATGGCAAGATTTCATGCTTTTTTATGGCAACTAATATTCCATTATTTCACATCTTTATCCATTCATTTATCAATGGACATCTAGTTTGCCTCCATATCTTGGCTATTGTAAATGTTGCAATCAGCATTTGAGTGTATGTATCTTTTTGAGTTAGTGTTTTTTATTTTCTTCAAAATACCCAGAATTGGAATTGCTGGGTTGTATGGTGGTTTTATCTTTACTTTTTTAAAATATATATATATATATATTATTGATTTTTCACAGAGAGGAAGGGAGATGGATAGAGAGTTAGAAACATCGATGAGAGAGAAACATCGGTCAACTGCCTCCTGCACACTCCCCACTGGGGATGTGCCCGCAACCAAGGTACATGCCCTTGACCGGAATCGAACCTGGGACCCTTGAGTCCGAAGACCGATGCTCTATCTACTGAGCCAAACCGGTTAGGGCTATCTTTACTTTTTTTGATGAAATTCTATAGTGGCTACAGCAATTTACAATGCAACAAATTGTGCACAAGGGTTTGCTTCATCAACACTTGTTATTTTCTTTATTTTATTATTTCCTTGTCTGGTCGCTGTGGCTCGGACTTCTAATACTATGTTGAATAAAAGTGGTGAGAGCGAGTATCCTGGTTTTCTTACTGATATTAGAAGAATAGCTTTCAGCTTTTCATCATTGAGTATGATGTTAGCTGTGCATTTGTCATGTATGGCCTTTATTATGTTGAGGTATGCCCCCTCTATGCCTACTTTATTGAGTGTTTATCATAAATGTATGTTGAATTTTGTCAAATGCTTTGTCTGCTTCTATTGAGATACGACTTTTATTTTTGGATTTGTTAATGTGGTGTAACAGGTTGATTGATTTGCGTTTATTGAACCATTCTTGCACCCCTGTAATAAATCATGGTATAATTCTTTTAATATGTTGTTAAAATTTATTTTGCTAATATTTGCTGAGAATTTTTGCACCTATGCTCATCGGGGATATTGTCCTATAATTTTCTTTTATTGTAGTGTCTTTGTTTGGTTTTGGTATCAGGGTAATGCCAGCCTTGTAGAATGAGTTTGAAAGCATGCCTTCCTCTTCAAATGTTTTGAAATTTTTTTGAGAAGGAAAGATATTAATTCTTCTTTAAATGTTTTTCTTCTGATTGTGGAGGTTGTTTGTTTGTTTGAAGGGTTTTGATTACTGCTTTAATTTCATTGCTAGTAATTGGTCTGTTCAAAGTCTCTGTTTCAGTATTGGAAGATTGTATGTTTTTAGAAATTTATTTATTTCTTCTAGACTGTCCAATTTGTTGGCATATGATTATTCAGAGTATTCTTTTTAAAAAATATATATAAATTTTTATTGATTTCAGAGAGGAAGGAGAGAGAGAAACATCAATGATGAGAAAGAATCATTGATCAGCTGCCTCCTGCATGCCCCCAACTGGGGATTGAGCCCACAATCCGGGCATGTGCCTTGACCGGGAATCAAATCATGACCTCCTGGTTCGTAGGTCGATGCTCAACCACTGAGCCATGCCAGCTGGGCCAGAGTATTTTTTAATGATCCTTTGTAATTCTGTCATGTCAGTTGTAATCTCTTTTTTTAAATTTATGATTCTATTTAATTGTGTTCTCATTTTTTCTTGACAAGTCTTATTAAAGGTTTGTCAATTTTACTTATCTTTTGAAAGAATCAGCTCTAGTTTTATTAATATTTTCTATTTTTTTAGTCTATTGCATTTATTTCTGTGCTGACCTTAATTATTTCCTCCCATCTATTTACTTTGTATTTTTCTAGTTCTTTTTTTCCTCGATATAAAGTTAAATTGTTTATTTGGGGTTTTTCTTGTTTCATGAGGTAGGCCTATATCCTATAAACTTTCCTCTTAGAACTGCTTTTGCTATATCCTGTAGATTTTGAAAAGCTGTGTTCCCATTTTCATTTGTCTCAAGGTAGTTTTTATTTTCTCTTTGACTTTTTCATTGACCCATTGACTGTTCAGTAACATGATGTTTAGTCTACATGTGTTAATGTGTTGTTTTTCCATTTTTTCTTCTTGTAATTGATTTCTAGTTTTATTCTGTTGTGGTTGGAAAAGTGTTTGGTATGAAAAGTGTTTGAATTTATTGAGACTTGTTTTGTGGTCTAACATATGATCTTTTCTGGAGAATGTTTAATGTGCACTTGAAAAGAATTGCAGTTTTTGGATGAATTGTATACATATTTATAAAGTTCATCTGATTTAATATGTCATTTTGGCTAATATTTCCTTATTGATTTTCTGTCTGAATGATCTATTCATTGATGTAAGTGGGGCATTAAGGTTCCCTACTATTATTTTGTAACTGTTACCTTCTCCTTTTCTCCCTGTAAATATCTGCTTTATGTATCTAGGTGCTCCTATGTTGGGTGCATAAATATTTATGAATGTTATATCCTCTTCTTGCATTGATGCTTTTATCATTATTTAATACCTTCCTAGTCTCTTTTTTGTCTATTTAAAAATGTTTTGTTTGTATTAGGTACCAGAGAAATGGGAGATCCAGAAACTATTGCCAAAAGCCAGGATATCTGGCCAGAGGAACATCTCTTTTCTCTTTTTGCTTGAATAACAAAAGCATGTTGGTAGTGGTCGACCAGGCATGGCGGACACAGTCCTTGTGGAGGATTTAAAGTCTTGGGCCATCAAGGGAGTGTGTACCAGGGTCAAAACTGAGGGTTCCAGACTCGGGTTTCCCAGATAATCATTGGGGACCATTTGGAGAGAAGGACTGATAGAGGGAGAGGAGAATCCGAGCTGTTAATGAGCCATCAGCATTTTAATCGATGCATAAGAGGAAGAGAAAAGAAGCAAAGTCAAAAAGCACAACCATTTAGGAAACACATCTGAACGCACTTTTGGGGAAGGATTCTCCACAAACAGAAGAACAGAACGTTGTTCTATGCAGGTGTCACCGAGAGCTGCAAAGGCCAGCAGCCAGGGCTGCATCCGCCTGCGAAAGGGAGGGTCATGCTCCAGGGCTCTGACCGCTAGGTGGTGCTTGAGGCCCGCGCCTGGGAAAAGGCAAAGAGAAGGGGTCCCCAGGGAGCCCGACACGGAGGCGGGGCTGCGAGGCTGTACAAAGGCCGGAGCGGCAGCCCGGCTCAGGGCGCCTGTGCGCTGTCTGAGGAGTCCCGTCCTGGGGTGATGGCAGTTCGGCTCCCGGCAGCCGTCCCAGCCTGTGGATGCCAGTGTCCCGAGCGAAGGGCCCACGGGCTGCTGAGCAGGAGAAGAGGAGCGGGGTAGAGCGCTGGTAAATAGCCCACTTTCTTTGTACTTAAAATCGCCTTGAAAGGAATGCAAAGGCATGCCTCACTGTCACGGGCAAGAGAGCTACTTGGGTATTTACACAGCTTGATATGATGATTAATGTAATTGTATAATTGGCCACTCACTGTCCCCGAGACAGAACTAGGCAAAGTGACAAATGCTTACATTTCAGTAAAAACTTGTTATTGATGATGAAAAATGATGGCAGAAATTCTAACTCCCAGATGTGCTGAGTTTGGAGGGCAAAGGGATTTTTCAATATAAATCATGGGAGAGAAATTGGGCAACAAAGGAGTGATCTTGCTCTAGTTCTTGGTCAATTCAAATCCCTTGCTTCTTCGTGCTATTTGTATGTGGTACTTATAAAAGTATTTATTAATCAGACTTTGCAGAATTCAAATGCAGAGTCAGGGAAAATATTTGTTGAGGGGAAAACAGCATTCTGTGTGTCTCAAATTCAACATGCATGTGCAACTAAATTTGTGAATTGAAGACAGTAACTTTATTTGTGCTTATATTAAAATTAATGAGTCACCTTGGTTACAGTCTTAATTATAACTATGGAGACTGAATCCTAGTGGATTTTAGGAGTGTCAGGACAAATCTTAGGAAGACACCTTACTTGAAATATTGGAAGGACTACTCTGTAAAGTATATGATTGTCTAACCACTATATATCTGAAACTAGTATAAAATAATATTTAATGTAAACTGTAATTGAAAAATTTAAAAAGATGGTCCTGCCTTCTTGGACAGGAGTAATACAAATATTTGTATAAGCACAATGTTACTACTCTAATAATTGTAAAAATGTTACTAATGTCAACAAAGCATGACATTTATGTTTATTTTACATAGTAGATTATTTAAAAAAGAAGACATCCATCTGTTTCTCTTAAGAGAATATGGGCCTACATATCCTTCAGAAATCTAAGCTCACTGGAGGAAATGCGGTGGTGTAGAGGCCTTAGGAGTGTGTAAATCCGGAGACTGGAAGGGGTTTTATAGGCTGTGTGTTGGGAACACTTTTGAGAGTGAACTTGGGTGCCAGGACAACAAGCATAAAAAGTGAAACCATCTCAGGCACACTGAGATGTGTGGTCACTCTACTAAGAGGTCTGTGAAAGAATGAGGGCCTAGAAGGAGGAGGACCAGAAGGCGGTGACAATTCTAAGCCTGTGTGTTGGGAGGACACTGTTCCAGGAGTCCGGGTCCACGGCAGGATGTGTGTATTCTAATACAGAGAATCCTAGTACTCAGTGAGTGCCCTGAGTCCCTTCACCCCCACTCTCAGGATTGGCTTCCTTCTGGAATGCTGCTGTGTTTCTTTGGTGCACGGTTAACCTCTCTGAATCATGAATGAAAACCTGTTTTGCAGTAAACTTGGTGCCAAGAAGAGGAGCAATGAATTCCTCATTTCACCTGGATTTCTTAGTTCTCAACCTGAATGCCACAGAGGGCAACCATTCAGGACCGAATGTTCAGAACAAGTCCTCACCGTGTGAAAATATGGGCATCGCCGTGGAGGTGTTTCTGACTTTGGGTCTCATCAGCCTCTTGGAGAACATCTTGGTCATAGGCGCCATAATAAAGAACAAGAACTTGCACTCTCCCATGTATTTCTTTGTGTGCAGTTTAGCTGTAGCTGACATGATGGTGAGCATGTCCAACACCTGGGAGACCATCGCCATATACTTAATAAGTAATAAGCACGTGGTGATAGCGGATGCCTTTGTGCGTAATATTGACTATGTGTTTGACTCCATGATCTGCATCTCTGTGGTGGCTTCCATGTGCAGCTTGCTGGCCATCGCGGTGGATAGATATGTCACTATCTTCTATGCCCTGCGCTACCACCACATCATGACAGTGAAGCGTTGCGGGGTGATCATTGCGTGCATCTGGATCTTTTGCATCGGCTGTGGCATTGTTTTCATCATTTACCACGAGTCCACTTACGTCATCATTTGCCTCATCTCCATGTTCTTCACCATGTTGTTCCTCATGGTGTCTCTGTACATACACATGTTTCTCCTGGCACGAACGCATGTCAAGCAGATAGCAGCTCTGCCTGGATACAGTTCCGTGCGGCAGAGGACCAGCATGAAAGGCGCCATCACCCTGACCATGTTGCTAGGCGTTTTCATTGTGTGCTGGGCTCCGTTCTTCCTCCATCTCATTCTGAGGATCTCTTGCCCTCAGAATCTCTACTGTTCTTGCTTTATGTCTCACTTCAACATGTACCTCATACTCATCATGTGCAATTCTGTGATCGATCCTCTGATATACGCCTTTCGCAGCCAAGAGATGCGGAAGACCTTTAAGGAGATTATTTGTTGCCATGGCTTCAGGATACCCTGTAGGTTCCCTAGCAGCTATTAAAAGTGCCCTCTGCAGCTTTCTTTTCTCCTTCCTTCGCTTTATAATGAAGTCAGTTAGGGGTAATCAAGATAACTCAAAATCAAAACTGTGCATTCCATTTATCTTTTCTCTCGCTCTTGAATTAGTACTTAAGATGCACCCCCCCCCCCCCCCCCCCCCCCCCCCCCCGCAACACACACACACACAGGTAACCTTTTGGTGGTTGGGCAGATGTGCACATGCAACTTATCCATTTTGGAAATGGTCTGTGACAATTTATTATTGGCTCATTTTCCTACTACTTTTTCTCCTACTCCCACCCATTGCTGGGGGCCCCATCCATCTTCCATCTAGTGTGTGCTCAGGGTCTACACAGGATGAAGAGCTGACCATAATGGAAGAAAACTTGTGAATATTTACATCATGTGATTGCTTTCTCTCCCCAGAAACTGTTTTGTAACTTCCTTGATATCCCTGGGACTTATCCACGCTTTCCAGGGTAAAATAGAGTGGTCAAGTTCTTTCCATTTGAAAGTTCCTGTTTATTAGTTACGGGATTTCTCTATAGCTCTTCTTTCTTGAACTTTTGGGTTAATGGCTTGTGTTCATAATTGTCCAAGGATGGAATTTCCTTAATTCTACTTCTGTCAATCATGATTTTGCTTTTCCCCAGATATAAAACTTTATGCTATAAACCTTACATCATGTGGTGTGAAAGTTTCTGTGACTCTTCTTACTGTCTTATTCTGACTCAGTCCGGGGTTTCCAGATGAATGTCTTGGGGACATGTCATGGGCTCCAAGTGTCCCCATGCCTCCCTCACATACTCCCCACCCCCACTGTAACACATGCTCATAGCCAAGCCATTTTTTACTTTCTAAGATGGGTCTGTCTCCGAGTCTGAAACCCTGTCACTCACTGTATACTTTGCACATCACAATCTGACTCCAGCAGCCAGAGAAGGTCAGTGCCCATCTCTCACCCAGGGAGTCCCGTCTTCTCCCGTGTGGAATGGAGTTTGAAAATCTGAGTTCAGGTCCTGACTCTGTCATTGACAGGTGATGTTGCCTTAATCATCTCATTTCAGGTTCCACATCTGTGCTGACCTAACAGGGTGGTCGTGAGAACTGCATGCGGAAGTGTGAGAATACCTTGGGAACTAGTCAAGCACAACAGGGATTGGGTATTTATTTTAAAGAAATGCTGCAGATGGGGTCAATACTAGGGGATGATGCAGAAGGCAGCCATAAGAGCAATAGTCTGGAAACCAGGAGGCCTGCTGACAAGAGCAGCTGTGTGACCTCTTGGTCTCAGTGTTCTTATCTGAAGTGAAGGGCTTGGTCTTTATAGCTCCTGTATTCCATTCTGTTATTTTTGGTGTTAATGACTTCTCTTTTTTGGGGGGTATTCACTTCTATACTCTTTCCAGTGAAGGAAAATTATAAATAAAACAGTGTACTACTAGGGTCATTTAATAATGAGCTGTTGAAGCCCTTTGGGGCAGAGGAGCTTCTGGGTGTAGAACACATAAGTAACTTATAGATGTGACCCCACCCCTGACAGCTCAGAGTCCACACACACACACACACACACACACACACACACACACACAGAAAATGGTACTGGCACGAGGAGGAAAGCGCATAAGACATCCAAATCTTTGGAATATGGCAAATTAGCAGGTTGTTAGCAAATGAGTTTTGAAGGGGCAGCTAGCCCTTCAAATGTTTCCTGTTCCTTTTAGCTGAACAGGCTATGTGTATCTATGAATGGGAAGTAAGTGATCTCTATGTAATTATGACGGAAACCACAGTCCATGTTTACATGGGATGTCTCAGGAACTCAGGTTCCATGAAAGCCAGCCGCTCTGCTGTCCTGTTCATATCTGTGGCTTTGTTGCCTGCAGTATCTTCTGATACAGAGTAGGCACTCCACTGCTGTTTGCTATTGTGACTGAGTAAATGTGTATTGAATCTGCTGCCTAACAGCCCTGGGTGCTCTGGGAGGTCACCAGGGTCCCAATCCTGTGCGTAATCACACTTCAGCCCCTGTGGTTTGAAGTTGGCTCCCCCTGGGAGCTCACCAGGCTACCCCTCTGCTCTGGGTGCCTCATGACTTCAGACAAGGTCGGACCTTTCCTAGGAAGATCTTTAAGGAAATGCTCACATGTCTTTTAATCTCTATAAATAGTGCAGAAATAACCCACGTATTCAGATGTGTCTTCAGTTGGAAGAAATACATGTAATATAGTGATTCGATAAATATCTGTAAATTAGCCCAGCCCTGGGACTCCAACACAAAATTTCCTACACAAAACATCCATTTAGTTGCCAAATACTGCATGGTATTATATTTTAACTCTGCTTCTGTAGGAACGTCATTTGATAAAGCAATCCTATCTAATAAAGAAGGAATATGCTAATTGACCCTCACACCATCGCAAAGATGGCGGCGCCCACATCTAATAAGGAGGGAATATGCTAATTGACTGCCCCACCCTCAAAGATGGTGGCACCCACAGCCAATAAGGAGGGAATATGCTAATTGCTGCCACGCCCTCAAAGATGGCAGTGCCCACAGCCATAAGATGGCCGGCAGGGGAGGGCAGTTGTGGGCGATCAGGCTAGCAGGGGAGGGCAGTTAGGGGCAATTGGGCTGGCAGGAGCACAGTTAGGCATTGATCAGGCTGGCAGGGGAGTGATTAGGGGGTGATCAGGCTGGCAGGCAGAAGCAGTTAGGGGCAATCAGGCAGGCAGGCAGGTGAGTAGTAGGGAGCCAGCAGTCCCAGATTGTGAGAGGGATGTCCTATGGGATCGGGCCTAAACTGGCAGTCGGACATTCCCTGAGGGGTCCCAGATTGGAGAGGTGCAGGCTGGGCTGAGAGACAACCCCCTACAGTGCACGAATTTCATGCACCGGGCCTCTAGTGGTTAATAAAATGTGAGCTATTCCAAGTGTTTTTGGTGTTTTTGCCCATTTGTCAGCAGCTGCAGCAAAAGGAGAAGGTATATTCATCAGTGAGTTAGGATGAAGTTTCCCCGACGGTATTTATTGCCTGAATGATGGCCGTTTCTCAGTTCAAGATGATTTAACTCTTAAAAATCAAATAATACTGTACACTTGACATTATACATTGTCTTAAAGTCTGTCTCTTGGTAAATAAGTATTGTGAGGATGTCACTAACCATGTGCTTAGTTGGGGGCTAGAAGCAGCGGTCGTCAGATACTCTCTGCCATCAAAGAGCTTATGGGACAAATTATTTAAGACAGGAATATTTTAAGATATGTGAATACACTGTCCACAGTTCAAGATGCTACCCATAAATGTGAATTTATGAGGCGCAGACTATACCTGCTGTAAAATGAGAGCTGTGATAGCTCCTGTGTCTGTAATGGCAATTTTCACCGATAGATTCAGGGAGCATATTAGAGTTTTGTGGTGAAGGTGTAACTTTGAAACCCCCGCCCCCGCCCCAGATTGTCTCTACATCAGGTTCATATGTGGCTTCTCTTGAGCTGGAGACCATTAAACTAAAAGGACAAGTTATCTGATAAATGATGGTGGGACAGGGGACCACACAGTCACTCCCATTCAAGCAGAGGACGAGTAGGAGACAGGGCGTTACATTTCCAGGGCTCAACAGCAACCTGTGGCTGGTGCTACCTCATCAGACAGTGCAGATGGGCACTGACCTCCCAGGCTGCTGCGTGTTTGTCCTCTGTCCCTGTGGCTCTTTCTTTCCCGCATCCTAATCACATATGCTTTGAGTTTATCAGGTTCTGAGGGAGAGTCTTGCTTTTAGTTTCTTTTCCCTGAGACCTTTTGTCCAAGTGAAAGGATTCACTGGATCCTTTTACTATATCCCTCTTGGCATTTATTCTGGGACAGCTTCCTTAATCTACTAAGAGGATTTGCAGTGCTGGTGAAACCTGTCCCCTTGATTCGATCCTAGTGCCACATCTGAGTTTTAATTGGCCTATGTTATTCAACGTTTTAAATTTAATTTTTTACTTATTGGGTTGAGAAGAGCTATCTCTTCTCATGCTGGAGTCCCTGACTGTGGATTTTCTTGAAAAAAAAAAAAAGTTTCATTTTAAATCTGGTTTCAAATGTATCAGTAAAGAATCCTATTATTTATTGATTGATTGATTGTAAAACACATATAACATAAATTTACCATATTAACAACTTTTAAGTTTACAGTTCAGTGGTATTAAGTGCATTCATATTGTTGTTCTACCATCTGAAATCCCTTTTATTCCTGCTTGCATTCAGTTAATTCTTTCTGTAGCTCATCACTCCCTTGTAGTATTTCATTAAATGCAGCCAACAGTAACCAATGCACACTACTGAAATCCTGTTTTCAGACCTTCCCCCATATGCTTATGTCTGATATCCATCAATCAAACTCTCTTTTCCCGAAACATAACATGCATTGCCATCCTTCCCTGCTCTCTGTGTACCTACCCATGTTAGATTCTGATCCAGCCACTTTTCCATAACAATTTCTGTGCTTGTCAGAATAGTCAGGGACAGTGCTTCTCAAACTTTAATAGCTATATGAAACGTGAGGAGAGCATGTTAAAATGCAGATTCAGCCCTGGCCAGTTTGGCTCAGTGGATAGAACATCAGCTTGCAGGACTGAAGAGTCCTGGGTTCGATTCCAGTCAAGGGCACATACCCAGGTTGCGGGCTCGATCCCCAGTAGGGGGCAAGCAGGAGGCAGCTGATCAATGATTCTCTCTCATCATTGATGTTTCTATCTCTCTCTCTCTCCCTTCCTCTCTGATCAATAAAAATATTTAAAAAATTAAAATAAAATGCAGATTCACATTTGGTGGGTATGGAGCAGGAACTGAGAGTTTGCATATTTAATAAGCTCTCAGATGCTGTTGGTCCAAGGATCCCACTTTGAGAAACAACATCATCCTGTAGAAACAAACAGATCCAAAGTCTCAGTGACTTAACATGATAATAAAAGTTTATTTTTCCATCATGCTACATGTTCTGCACAAAGTAGCAGGGAGTCTCATTGTAATTACTCAAGGACCCAAGATAATGGAAGCCCTATCCTAAAACATACTTGCATGTGAATTTCTATTTCACTCACAATTCATTTGCCAAAATAAGTCCCATGGTCTAACATCAAAGTGAGCTGGAGAAATCCA